CATAATCCGCACACGAAAGCATATTAGCAGCAATCTCAGACAAGCAAATCAAACAGATCTTTATCACTCTATCCACCTCCACTGTCGCAACTTTCACCGGGAACTTTAATTAACACACAGAATTAAGAAAAGATGGTTAGGATACATCTTGAAAGTGCTTGAATTTCTTTTGTTATTATTTTGTAAAAATCTTTAGTGATCATCTTCAGCAGAAATTGCAAGAACTCACAGGGACCTCAGCAGTACCCTCTTGTGGTCACTTACAACTATTGGCTCAGGTTTTGGTGCGGCCGGATTCTTGGCTCGAAGATGGAAAGCTCTCGTGCTGGCTCCAATGAAGTGCATGAATCCATTTAAGTTTGACTTGATAATAGCTGACAGCTCAGAATGGAAGTGAGGGACAAATGCAGTACTGCAGCAGGTCATCATGACTCCACTAGACGAGACCAAGACAAGGGAGCAGCAGTAATTAAAAAACAGGATATCTGATCCACGACTGTTGGCGTATGCAAGGTCAAACCATTTCAAGAGAGTTTGAAAATTATGCCGTGGGACTGATTACGGAAAAATCAGCCAGAGGAATATTTCTTTTTGCTCTGCTGCAGCTCATCCTGAAAGCTGTGGTGGGAATTGTTGACTCTGCTGCTGCAACACTGCGCACGAGATGCATTTGCGTCAACTGCCTTCAGTGCATCTAAAGCTCTGTAATGGCATCCCTGCTCATGTGACCTGCAGGGCCTGGGATTTGATAGCCAATCAGAACAGTACAGGGCTACACCCCCCATCTCCCTACCCCCCTCATGCAATGTGTCTGAAAACTCTCTTGAGGGAGGCAAGGATTGAAAAGCATATGTTAGAAGGACAAACCCACATCGAACATACACACTGTGTACCGTAAAATATGAAAACCTGGATGTGCAAGAATAACACCCACTAGAACAAAATACATAATGCAATGTTCAAACATTGCAAGTGACCAATATTCTCCAATGTCCATAGTCCTCCATGAGAGTGGACCGATTACATTTGTGTTGACTCAAATTAAACATTTGCTTTTACTTTGAAATGCCAACGATCAACATTTTTGGCTTTTTCTGACATGATATGGATGAAGCCAATAAGAGTATCATAATTAATTTTGTTTGTGCATTTTCTGCACTTTCCATTTCAATAAAAGCATGAAAGTTTGAACACGTTTTTTAAAAATGTGATTCATCAATTATTCGACAAAGTAATCGACAGATGAATTGAGGATGAGGATGAATAATTGTTGAAGTTTAAAGGGTGTTTTTTTCTTTTTTTGGAAGGGGGGAGGCGAGGGATGCTTGAACAACTAAATGGCATTTCCAATCATTTGAATAGGGAACACTGACTTGAATTACTTTTCATTGCCAGCATTATCATGGAACAAATGAAATCCATCTCTAGGGCACCACGGTGTATGGCTAATTGATTTGGAAGAAGTCATCGTGGATACCTTCCCAAAGCAACTGATTTATATCCTTTAAGTAACTCCCGTGCTAATCTATGCGTTGTGTAAGGCAGCTTTTCATTGGATCCAAAGCCAGCAGAAATCTGGCTAACATACGGGGAATGATGATCACTACAGCGGTGACTTGGCAAAGAACTGGGAGCAAGAGCAAAAATTATATTGATTTTCCTCTCTCTTATCATGGAATTCCGAGGCGTGAGACATTGTTCTAGGGCAGCCCGGTTAGTGCGTTGGCCTTACGGTGCAGAGGTGCAGGGTTTAATTCTAGCTCCGGTCTTACTGTGTGGTGTTTGCACGTCTCCCTGTGGCTGCGTGAGTGGTCGCTTGTGTCTATATGTGCCCTGCGACTGACTAGCGACCACTTCAGAGTGCAGTCTGCCTTACGGCCAAAATCATTCAGGATAGGCTCCAGCAACTCCCCGCGACCCTGTTCAGGATAAGTGGTGTTATAAATGGATGGATGGATGGATGGAGGTGTGTACGCATGTGAATATATACCATGACAAGTTCGATTGGGGCAAGCTGTCAAATGATTCCAAAAGGGTACCTCATTTACTTTTTCCTTAGATCTCGCTCTTTTGCCTCATCTCTAATTTTAGCCCTTCCTGCTTGCCTCCATCTTGATGCTCTCTATTCGCTACCATGCACAGCAGCCTCCTCTTCAGAAAAAAAAAAATGAGCAGCCGAGAACTAGCAGGAACTTTTCATGACTCATTGTCAACGACATCAGTCGATCAATTTCCTGTCAGTCAGCAGTAAGAAATGAACGCCTCAGGTTATGTTGTGAAGTGTTAAGCAAGCAGTCTACAATGCAACGATGTTTGTTTTCGTGTCTTCATTCATTGCAAGAAAAACGGTGCCAAACATCGCAGGGCACACAAGCAAACTTGGCACATGCAACACACAACAAATTTTCTGCGATTAATACTTGAAGAGGGATGTGGATGAAGCAAATTATGCAGTTGGAGAACAGCAGGCCCACGGTTTTAATTGATCTACACACACACACACACACACACACACACACACACACACACACACACACACACATACATGCACACACACACATGCACAGTATTGTCTTTATTTTACATCACATTCTGCCAAATTCGTAATCTAATGACGGTACAATTGAAACTAGAGCTTTTATTTGTCAGTCATGTACTTATTTTCCAAAGCCATCCATTCTTGGATAAACAGCACAAAGGAATAATAGTCTGCTCCATTCTTGATGCTGTTGTTAGTCTTGGCTCTTTTGCCCTCTAAAACACAGAAAAAGCTCAATAACATTGATTTGAACTGGTTACGTTTTATAGGCAGTGACGTTCACATCACATTAAAATGTCAGCCAGTCCGAGCTTTGATACAGGTTGTTGACGTATTGACGCTGTTCTGACAGCGGTGCCTTGCAATCCACATTTATTTTCATTCCGTGATCATGGTTGTAACTCAGAACACGTTCAAGTCTTTCCCCGTTGAAATAAAAGGAAATGCCTTGCAACTGTTCCAGCACCTCTTAAAACACACACACACACACACACACACACACGCACACACACACACACACACACACACACACACACACACACACACACACACACACACACACACACACACACACATTTTAGTGATGTTTTAATAACATTGTACTGAATAAAAACATTACAATGAAACAATGTAAACAGTAATGGCATAATTAAATGAAATGAGAAGAATTGAACAGATTTGCTTCAATTCTCCAGCATGTCCACGACCCTCGTGAGAATTAAGCGGTCCAGAAAATGGATGGATCAATGGACATCTTCCTTCTTGTGTGTGTGTGTGTGTGTGTGTGTGTGTGTGTGCGTGCGCGCGCACGCTTTGGCAACCTGGGGGCTGTATAATAAAGACATATGGATATACAGTATATGGAGATGGTCACAGCTCCTCTTGGAATATTGATCGTTCTTTGCAGAGGATAAAGAAAACACGCTAGTGGGTATTGCTCCATGCTGATCCTTTAGATTCATATTTACAATTACGCAAGCTACAGACATGAATTTATGCTTTGTAAAACAAAAATGAGCTCCTCTATTGTCTTATGATAAATATAGTCAAGCAGCCAAGTATTTGTGAAATTGTTTGCGGTGCTGAGAACGAGCTGCCTTTGTCAATGGCCGAGACCTCCCACTTCACAATAAACCAGAGTACACCCTTTCAGTGTTGCCAAACCTTGCGTTGCATGCTCACTGAGCTTAAGTCTCATGAGATTTGTTGACATGTCAAGATGTCATGCATGATGACTTTTATTTTTTATGGGATACAATATTTTCCTATTTCTGCCTTCACTGAGAAATCACACAGTTCTTCTTGCTCATACTGAGCCAATTAGGGATAATTTGTAACACGTACTTACCGTAAATACATGACGATGTACTCCAAAGCTAAAGCAAGGTTACAATGGTTTTAATTTAGATTTGACTCACAAATGTCCAATTTTTATATGTGCTGAGTGTTTTTTGTCCAGATCTCATTCTGTGCCCCGCTACAAGCTTAGTCTGGTAGTTGTCTTTTTTCCCCTCTCCCCTTTCCATGTGTTGTCTTTTTTTTCATATAAAATTTGTGCCGCAAATTGGCAACTCCCCAGATTTCCCATTCTGTCTCCCCGTGTTGACGTGACTGTCTTGTATGTTGGTTAACGGTAAGAAACCAACGATTCAATGACTCTGGTTGCTCTGTGCCTGTGACGTGTATTGCAATGACCGTAAAATGTCTCTTTCCATTGCATTCCTTAAACAGAGCACGAGAGTGTGTTAATTTCTGCAGAAATGTTGTCAATGTGGCCATGTTTTGTGTGTGCTTAAGTATAGATAATGATGCAGTCCTCACCACCTTAAGGCTGACAGATGCGCAGCAGAAGGCAATCTGTACTTGACAGCACTTCCACTCAGTCTGAAAAAGTCACTCTCGCTAATCCAAACTTTGTGCATCAGTTAACATCAGCTTGGCAGAAGCCGCATTACTTCCTCCGATTTCATTCGTCTGACTTAAAACGCTTGATGAAAATGCAGGGGTGACCAAAAATCCTCAAATTACATCTTGAGAGCACAGAGGCAGGTAGATGAAAAATTTCCGAGGGCATGCGGGAGAGAATATATTGAAGCTCCGTGCAATCCCCAAAAGGAGAGCAGCAAAAGCTTTAAGTCGTGGAGGGAATTTGAACGTCAGCGCAATCCGGCGGCGGGTATTAAAAGGCTTAATCCGAGAGCTCGCTGAGGCTGAGTTTTGCTTTGTGGGCCCCCTCACTATCATCCTTGGCAGAGGCTAAAGAGGAGACAAGAAGGGATGTGTCAAGATGACGAGCACTGGGAGCCACGTGTCATTATGGCAGCCTTGCATGTATGTTTGGGGGAAATGAAACATTGACAGAGTGCACAGATGTGCTCATTGGAATTTCTTCATTTTATACGCCAGCTGCTTTGAAAAAAAACTTCCACTGCTTTGAATATGATGTCATTTCTGTGTTCAGGAGGTATAAATCGTGGCGGGGCGGCGATGCCAGCATTCTTGCGGACCCCAACAGTGATCCAGCCCCACCTGGACATGAAGCCCTTCCTGCAGTTCCCCATGGAGACACCTCCTCCTCCTCCTGCCCCCCCTCCTCTTCCTCCTCCACACAGCTTGGCCCTCTTCCACAACTTCAGCACGGTAAGAGCCCAAACAGAAACTGGGACTACTTTGAATGACATCAAGTCATTGCTGCAGTGTGGTCTTATTACTGGAAGGATTAAAATCATTTGTGGAAACCTAATTGCATTGAAATGGACGCACTTGTGTTACTGGTACTGCTTACATAACACTTTTTATGGTCAGTGCTTTTGCATTACCACACGTGTGTGCCTTTTAATTTGTGAAATGGCTGCCTCACATCACATCAGCGTCTATATGTTACTCCATAGGAGCGGGAGGCAATCTACGATATGTTAACCCCCCCCCCAACAGACACACACATGCTCCCGTTTTATGCGGTGGAATATGTGCCGAAGCATTGACATTCGAATTTCAATGTCGAAACTTTAGTAACTGCTATTTTAGGGGAGCTACAATGAAATGTAGCTATCTGCTTGAATGAGTCAAAGCTGATACATGAAAGGTAACTCCAGAGCTGCACTTGAAATAGCACCGTTTGTTTGCTCCTGCAGTCTTTATTGTGACTGAGTGGGACTTTCCTGCTCCCCTCGGGCCTTGAAAAAAGGTTCATCATTCAGAGCACACCACGGAGGCATTCACCACTTCATCAAGTCAGCATAATGTTGCTCCTCCAAAGTGCATTTGAGAATGTCAACACATTTTTCATCAATACGTTCAACCACAAAGTGCTTTGTTCTCCGTGGGGAATGATGTCAGGCTTGCCTCCGCTTGATAAGCATTTAAGCACGCCGCCTCCACCTTGATTGGGCAAGGCAAATAATTAAGAAGGCTCTGTCGTGGAGCCCCAGTATTTCCACTAACTTATCAAACGAGCAGCTCCTGATTTCTCAATCACATTTGCCGACATATCTCTGCGAGTGGCTGCCATTATCTATTGTGGTTTGGATGACTAAAAACATTGGAGAGTGTTTCAACTTAATTCGGAGGTTAAGAACCGCCCAAGTTATTATTGCAAGCTTGGACTGATGGAAAGAGAATGAAGGTTGAAAGCAAATGGAATTATTGGGATGTGTTTGCTTTTATTATCTAAAGTAGCTTCTTCAGACATTTGACACTTCAGCTAAAAGAGGAACTTACCAAATAAGAATGCAATCAAGCCAAATTTTGCAGAGGTTTGATAGGCTTCGCTGCACTGTATGCACATGCTCGCTTTTGGCACTTTTCCGCACAGCTATTCAACAAAGGAGCTATTGTTGCCTTTTTTTTTTTTTTTTAAAACACTTTGACTTCTGAAAATGATCAAGCCTGGAAATACATTTGTAGAAATAAGGTAATGAACTTTTGCATTGTTCTTTTCATTTTGGATTTTATAAGGTTTGTACATTGCACTTCTTCACCACTTCACATCACTTTCAACTTATTATTGTTATTAGGAGCAATTTGTTTTACCTAATCCATTTTTTCAAAAAGTTGGCAACCATCTGCCGCTATTTTCCTTGTCGTCTCGGGCCCAAACAATTTATCCACCATCAATTGAATCGACAAAATCCCGCTGCTCAGTGTTGTATGACCCTGCGGCCAGGAGGGGGGGCCACAGGAGAGGCGAGAAAGCGGATCTGACCTTGCAGTAACTTAGCATGTCCATTCAGTACATTCACAATCATCCCCTCCAAAAAAATACAAAGGAAAAAAAAAACCACTGACATTCATCTTTAATATCTCATTTCACAGCGCTGTAATGGAGAGAAGACTGGCCCTGATGATTATGGTTCATTCGCTTTTCTTCCATCCAAGTCTGTGTAGTTTCCACTGAGTGATAGTGTGATTATCAGTGTGAATGGTTGTTGTTCTCTGTGTGTGCCTTGTGAAGGACTGGCGACCAGTCCAGAGTGTAATCGGCCTTTTGCCCAACGGAAGCTGGGACTGGCTCAGACTTCCTGTGACCCTCAACAGGATATAATGGGATGGATGGATGGATGGATGGAAATGAGACTGAAATTCAGTGGGGATGAGAGTACTGCTAGAATTTGAAGACAGGAGCTCCCCGAGGTGCGATGCACCATCTCCGAATGTGTGCCACGCTTGTTACAAACTGTTTAGAAAACACAATAAAAAAGATGCGTTAAACAACAACATCAACTTGGAGGTAGTCTGATGTTTTCCCAAAAAAGACTCGACTCCCTCCAAATGTATGTGCAGCTCGATGATGTTTTGAAGAATAATTCAACACTTGCTTTGTTTTCCCTGCGACTGTGTGAATGAAAGGGAAATCCTGATCAGTGTGTGAGTGTCTTCAAAGCCTGCTGGTGACTTTCTGCTTTCTGTATCGGCCTGTATTGAATATTTCACTGGAGACTCACTTTTATTGCAGCCATAACATTGAGAAATGTCCTTGTACGTTTAGCTGGCAGCAAGTCACTCTCTGTCTCTCTTCAGAGTTGATCCCGCTGAGTTTGTACATCATAATTAGCCCGCCATTAACATTGAGGGTTATTACCTCTATAACAGAGGAATTGCCTCTCCGGCGTCATGTCTATATATACAGCTGTAATGGTCGTGTAATATGATTTGTACTCCACTTGGCTGTCACTGCCAATGGGCTTTTGGACACTGATGGACTGGTTTACAGTATTAGTATGTGTCGGTCCCAATATAGACCACATGCACACGCTTCTTCCGAGGCAGCTGAAAGGTCAGAAAATGGCAATTGTACCGATTTATCAGTTTCAACATGATCACCTTGCAGAATAATGAAATTGGTTCTGTCATAGATTCAGTTACTACCCCCTAGCTAATTGATTTAAAATTACGTCGCAATACTTGTTTATTTATTTAATCTATTCAGAAGGAAATATCAGTCCATTTTCTAGCCAGCATATTATTATTAGTATCATCATATTGCATTAGCATTGCTTCACCATTCTGGTATCGTAATATGAAATGACAAGGAAAAAAAGTAGTGGTGTGATAACTGATGTCTATATGTTCAGGGAAAATGCCATAATCTCACATGACTCAAGCCGTCATTTCGACACAACAATGTCAAAATTCCCATACAATCCTTTGTCAGCAACATTTGCACATAACGCCGCTATTTACCAGCGATTGTGATGTGGCTGGACACAAGTGACTATTGAGTCTTACTTGACAGTCCTCATGTAACTATGCATTTATGCATATGATGTTATTACCTATTCTCGCAATATTTTGTGTATATCGTGTTGGGTTTTTTTTCAGGTTGGACAAAATACTTTTTGCTGCAAATAATGTTGTCCTACAGCCTTATTGGGTACATAGCATCCATTTTGACTTAAATATGAATGATCATGTATGATTGCTGAGCATATAAAGGTTTACGTTTGACCAATTAAGAGTGCATCCACTAAAATCATATTCAAGACAAATCAATCATTTATTTCTATCGCCTTCGATGACAAAAGAGTCTCAAAGGGTTTCATAGGTGCACAGCTCACCAAGATCAACAACATTGCCCCCTAGCCCCTCTTGGATAGGAGAGAGAAGAAGAAGCGGTAAAACAGGCCAAAATGTTCATGCCAGGTGGTGAGGCAGGCCAAGAGACTTGTTGCACACTAGGGGGCAGGGATTGAAACATTTCTACAGTGGTAGCTGCTCTCATTTTCACAGGTGGTTACTCCGGAGAACTGGATCCCGGATAGAAAATGCTCTTGGACCTGCTGACTTCTTTGCACACAGTGACTTTCTAAATACCCCACACCTCATCCAATTTGTGTTGCTAGTCGAAGTCGGTGGGCAAAACAAATGTTCTGGTGAGTTGGCTAAACACTGATAAGCAGGGGGTCAGTGGAACACTCTCATAATCCTTCAAGCACATCTAGAGAGCGCAAATATGCACGAGAAGGAGGGGAGAGAGAAGGAGAGGGGGAGGAGACACTACAGTGCAGCTTGAGGGACTCACCATGGCAAGCTTTAGGGCATGGCGAAGGAGAACTGAGAGCAAGAGCAGGAGGACGCTTGACACATGGTGTGGAAATATTTGCAGAGTTTACAGAGAGCATCCCAGCATCTCAAAAAGGCCCAAAAGGACAACTCAAGACGCTGTTGACGGCAATGCACCGCTAGTTCTTTAAGTCCTTTAAGTTGGTCTTCATCTTTGACAAGTGAGCAGGAAGCTGAATGAGGGAGGAAAGTGCATCACGCACTTTGAGTCTCATGCTCTCTGAGACCCAAACACACACCTGTGACAGCAGCAAACACGTGCAAGGGGAAATGCAGCTTCAAGCTTGCACAGACACTGACGAGAAGAAGGTGAGTACACTGCTCCTTGGGCATGTTTTTTTGCTGCGTCTTAATCTGGCCTCCAGTCAAGCAAAACTTGTGCTTCAAAGACTGTGTTACATCCACCTCAGTGCAGATTATACTGCGAGTGCCAGAATGGTGCCGCAGGGAGCATTCCTTGCTGCTCAAGTTCAACACGATGAAAACAATTTGCTGTCGAGAAGTGATCAAACACAGCAGGGGAGTGAACTGAAAAGAAGTGCAAGATAGCGAGACCAGGCGAGGAAACAACACAGCAAGATATGACAAAAGTCATTTTGGGAGCATGAGAAAGGCTCACCAGGAGTAATCAAATAAAAAATACCAGACAGTGTGCTTAATGCCTTTTGGGGCACAATGATAAGACATATCTGTACAATTTGCTATGACCCGTTAGGAACATATTCTAAACAGGCACCGGAGCCTGGTTACACACTTGTGTGGCATGGCATTCCACTCCTTCAACATGCTTGCGACACTTGTTCAAGTGTGAACAGAACACCCAAACGGATCCTACTGGTTGGCATCGTGTCGGGACTGTTGGCAGGCCGCTCCATTCTTTCTACTCCCAAATTGTGGTGGTCGTCTCTGATGAACACTACTGTGGAAGGGCAGGCCTTGCCATCTGGGAGGATGACATTGAGGACGTATGACATTTCCTTGATGATGACAAGCCTCGTTTTTCTAGTGATGAATGCTGCCCCATATCCAGCTACAATCAGGCACTTGCAATTTGTCAACAGCAGAATCAATAGCAACCGCAGTAGAGCTCTTTAGCGACGGCTGTGAAGAGTTGGTGCGTTTTGCGTGCAATGCATAGACTCCGTGATGCAACTTATTCCATAAATGGATGTTCCTTACAAATAGAGCAACTCTGGAAATACCGTATTTTCCGCACTATAAGGCGCTTCAGAGTATAAGGTGCACCTTCAATGAATGGCCTATTTTAAAAATGTTTTCATATGTTGAACGCACCGCATTATAAGGCACATAGAATCGAAGCCACAATAGTGAGTTGCGTTATGCATCCACGAGATGGAGCTACGCTAAAGGGAATATAATACAATACCATACAGCTTTATTTATATAGATTTCACAACCACTGCAGCTGTAAGAAAACACTTTATAGAACATTTAAAATACTACGTCCAAGAAATCAGAATATTGATCCATATATAAGGCGCATCGGATTATAAGGCGCACTGTCGGCTTTTGAGAAAATTGAGTGCTTTTAGGTGTGCCTTATAGTGTGGAAAATGCGGTAGGCTTTCTCACATTGCAGTTTGCGATGCAAAATGTTCATTTTGCCCCTCATCAAAACACACTGAATAGCAGAACTGAGAATCATTTGCTAAGACATTCCATACCGCTTTGCTGGACTAGACGCACACTCGTTACGTCATCTACGCATTGGAAGTAGGCCTTCGAAGCAAGCTTACTTGCTGCTGCTTCTGCGACCAGATAGCTAGAAAAAGCCGGAAAAATATACACAGTAGTCAAGTAAAATACTGAAAAATCGAAATCTCCTCAAATATGGTCAGGAATTACTTGAACTCAACACCACTGCAAGGTGGTGCAACATCATCACGGGGTGGGGAAATAATTCAACTTGTCTGTTGCAGATGTAAGACGATGACAAAACAGCTGTGCCTTGAAATACCCAACGTATATATTTTTTAGATGTTGAGCTTTGATGTGCATGACTGTCTTGAGTTGCGAGCGTCACTGAACAATCTCACCTCATATGTCAAGAGACGACTGTAAATAGAATGCATGTGCGCCTCCTCCACATCGAAGCTTTCGGATCTTCAGTCTCTCAAGGACCAGCAGACATGATCACAGAGTGTTTGACTCTGCTTGAGAGGGATTTTGGGTTCGTTTCTGTGTGAGCCCCACCAGAGAGGCCTCTTGGCAGCTGCACAGTGTTTTTAACAGCTGAATCGACTGGATGGACCGTAGCTGACCTCCACCCAGGGAACTTGGCTGAAGCCCATCATTCATGTGCACAGTTACCTCAGGTCGTGTTAAACGCTCTCCAGGGGGTCTCAACGCCGACGCCCTCGTACAGCATGTAACGTGCACCTGCACCGTGTTGCTCATCATATAGCAGGTAATGTCTGACAGCAGCTTGGAGGCTTGCTGGAAGACATAGAGTGTATCGTACAACACTGGGCTGGTTCACGATACATACAAGACCAGAACACTCTAACTGTATTGATATATTTGCTTTCTAAAATCTAGGGCTGAACACTCAAGTCGATATTGCAATTCAAGTTTCAAATCACAAAGATAAAAAGAAAAAAAAATCTGCTTGATTTCACTTGATCAGTAGGCTTTATAATATATCATGAAACGTGGTACCTCAAGATGTGGTGTGATCCGACTTTTGAGTCCATCACAGCTCTTTTTTCTTTTTCCTATTTCAGTACAATGCAACGTGCTTCAAATTGGTCTCTGGTACTACTTACACTAAGCAACTTGTTGCTGTGGCAGACGGTGCCCATGCAGTATTGCTTGCTGCGGTTCAATATATTGCAAACTGCTACTACTCTATTCTGTGGAGCTGCATGCCATGTTCCACTTAAGTCCATTTCCGGGGGAATGAAGAACAGAACAGCAGTCGTGCTGGATGGGAAAAGTCGCATGAGATAAGAATGACTGATTGTTATGTTATTTTGAGATAAGATGCCTAGCCATGGCGTCATTCTATGGTTTCTGGTCTTTATACCATCATGTTATCCATCTCTGCTGCTCATCCACATGGTGTATATATCCAGGTAGGCCTTGCTGTCCCCCAGATTAACATCCAAGGCCTCCTCTGCATGCATTCCAAGTCCTAGAGAGATTCACGTTGTATACCTGCAGTCAAGGAAATTCTCTTCTTGAGGATATCTTCATTATAGACGAGCGTGACAGTGGGCGTGAGATGACTGAAGGGAAAGCTTGGCAATGGGCCAAATTAAACACAGAGACGGGCCAAATTGAGTAATTTCTTGTCTGCGAACCTTCCCAGAGCAGCACGCTTGCATCACATTTGGAAGGCTCTTTGGAACATTCGGTCAATGGCTTATGATTTTCAGACACACAACAGCAATTGCATTTTTTTTTCTCGTTAGGCCATTACTTTGGTTTTCATCCTCCTACGTACCCAAACAGTGTCACATCATTGTACATTTTTTTAAGTAGTCTGCTGTCGCTGCAAAGAAAGTGCCAACATGTCTGTGGTTAAAAACCACGGGATTGACTCTAAATTAGTGCTAAAGCCAATTTACAATGACGGCTAAATGAATCCACCATTTAGCTTTAGGATGGGGTTGAAGTACCTAACCAGAGTCAATTAAATGCATATGAGGTGTTAAACAGCATGTTGCTGATTGATGGAGCAGATGGAAAAAAGTCACACAACATCAATGTCAAATTCCGACCAGGTCTTCAAGTCCACACACGATGAGAAACACCACGTAGGGACTTAGAAATAGCTTTGGTCTTATAATCTTCAAAGATGGATAGTTTTACACAAACATTGGCGCTACACATGTGGATATAATGAAACAGGCATAAATTATTTATCCTCCATGAAGAAAGACTAATATTATTGAGGCTTACTGTGGTCCTCACCATGTACAGTATATCGCTATGTCTTACGACCACCAAATGGCCAAGGCATTCACACCAGAAGGAGTTGCACAATACCCATTTAAATGAAGCAAAAAAAAATAATGTTAATCATTTCTTTAGTTCGTATTTAATTGTGCCATTGCTTAATTTTTTATAAAGGACAATACTACACAGGGCTTTTTTTCCACATAACAAGCATTTATTTCATTTAAGTTTTGTTAGATGATTTGAGAGACACGCCCTGAGTTACAAATATGATCTTTCACTCAAACTGACTCATAGCTCAAGGGAACCACTGTATGTTTATTATTGTGGTAGCGGCTTTCAGATGTGCACGCCTGTAAAATCCAAACCATAACATCTGATGGTATAAACAAACATGAAAATGATTTTATCAGCAGCTCTTGGATTTGATCTCATTTGATTATACTCATCTTACAAAACGTGGTTGTGCATTTAAGGTAAGACAAGACAAGAACTTCACTGTTTAAACGAAAGTTCACCATTTTGTCCCTTGTCTTTTCTTTCCTCCCTTTTTCCGCACTTCCCTTGTCGTTCCATGGAAGATGGACCCAGTGCAGAAGGCCGTGATCAACCACACCTTCGGAGTTCCACTGGTCAAGACCAAGCGGCCGGTCATTTCCTGTAACGTCTGTCAGATCCGCTTCAACTCAGAGGTACTCTACACTAAGTTTCCAGTGAGAAAACTGGAAGGTCTTCTGCTCTGTTTTCTCACCGGTGAGCGGATATTGACAAAGACACGGTGGTGCAGTTCTCTGCCTTGTTTTGGCACTTTTGACCGCTGTTGGAATTTAATTTGTTTCAAAGTGCTGTAGCATCAAACAAAACAATAAAAAAAAGTGGAACCAAGCGGCAAGATCTGGCACAGAGGCCAAGGATGAGTAATCGGTTGTTTACAAATGGAGCATCAACAATGACAAAAGTTTTATTAAAATCCTGAAAATGTGATTCAAGTATGAACTGCTGGCCTGTGTTTATTTTATTGGACACTTCTTTTATTTCATATTGACTTTAGATGAATCACTTTCTCTGATAAAACTTCCCAGTAGGATATAATGGGCATTTTCTACTTGTGATTGATGGCGCGGAAGCTTTCAGTGTGGACTTGTGCGAAGCCATTTCCAGCGCCCAATGTGTAGGCTGTGATGTTGAAAACACAGAGGTGCAGACATTTTGGTCAGACACGCACGGACCACACTTAGGAGTGGACCAGTGCTATATATACTCGCTAAGTCTGCAATCATGTGGTTAAGCGGCTACAAGGTTAAAATCTTTGAACCTGCTCTCCTTAGATCTTCATGCTGAACCGATATTTATCTGGGAATGTTTATGTGATTAAATACATGTCTCTTATTAGTCAGGAATCAGGGTTCACTAAAAAGTATGCACAGTATGGACAAAAAAGATCAAGTAGGATGTTCCACTCACAAGGAGTGAAGGTGAAAGAACATATTGTCTGGATTCAGCCGCCCAACACCTTTCAGTCTACTGGCGAGACTTTCTAAGGATGTTGACGTGTATCTGTGGGGTTGTTTCGACATTCTTCAAAGGCAACTCAAGCTCCTACACAGCAAACTCAGCCAAGCAGGCACCTTGTTTTGTGCGCATGACCTTGGGTCATGCTAGACAAAAACAGGGCCCTCCCCAAACATGCAATTTTCCAAACGCTTAAATAACGCTTTAGAAGTAGCTGTCCAAACGTCCAATGCATTTTCATTTCAAACACGAGTTTTCACTCTGTTACTTAAAAGGAGTGAAAACAAAAAATGCAACCATTGAAAATGCCTATGCTCTCACACACACACGCACACGCACACGCACACACACGCACACACACGCACACGCACGAACATTCAAAACTTGCACACATACCCTCATGACCCTGATATTAAAAAAGACGTGGCAAAGCACAGAGAAACCATGTGAGGAAAAAAGAACCCAAGGGGTGCTGATCCACACTGACTGACAGCAACCATACCTCCCAGTGAGGAGGCCCTCCAAGAGGAAACCATGGCTCTTAAAACAATAAAAAAATAAATAAGAAAGAAAAGAAACAAAATAAATATAAAACGCTTGAATTAGAATAAGTATATTATTAACTTATTCAAAAGCCAAGTTAAAAAGATGTGCCTTCAGCCTCCTCTTAAAAAACGAGAAAAATAATATCAGGTACTGCCTTTTACAGCACAAATCACACCAGCAAATCAGTCAACATACTGTATGAGGGCCTTGTACGCCATTTTTATTCTTGTGAGCCTGCTTGGCAGAACAAAAGATGCGCTCACGCACATGGAGACAGGCAGGCTCAGACGTGCAATCAGAGGAGCTGTGGCGGCTCTCCGCTGTCGCTGTCATGAGAGATCGCTGCAGAATGTCAGCAATGTCAAAGCTGCGGTTGACTATCGTCTGTACGTCCAAATGAGCTCACCCTTTTGTTCACATTTTCCATAAGTTTCCAAAAAGACATTACATCTGATGCTAGTTTAGCTGACATTTATAAGTGACAGTTTTGTGTGGAATCATCAATGCAACACAGACCTGTCGGATCGATAAAACTCTTCATGTTTTCAAAAGGTCAGATTTTGTCCTTTGTTGCTTTCATTGCATATATTGTGTCCTATTTGATCTTTTCTTACCTCTGATGTGTACATTTTTATGGGACCTATCCAGCTATAAAATCAACTCAACCTACTTTTGAGGCCTGCTGGCAGCTGATTCGAGCTCTACTCTGAAATATCGCACGTGCAACTGTGCTCTATATATGTGTTTGGACATTGTTGGGACACTTGGGATAAGAAAGTAAAGATAAAATGAACGGGCGATAGGCAGAGGCGTGAAAATGTCCTTCAGACTGCTGGCAACAAGCTCAATATAGCAACCTTGCATCTCATGCGCCATGTTGTACTGGCCTCACCATCCTCTCTGCAAATGACTCCTCGATGAATGGTCCACCTTGCTTGTGTACACTCTGTGCAAACACATTAAGCCAGTGGTGGGTATTTCAAAAAGAGATTAGTTCCTTTCCTGCAATAAATCGCAGAAAGATCGTCTAAGCAGGATGATTTGTTTTTTTCTTTCTGAAAAAATGTTGACGTGTTCTTAGATGCTTTTCACTCCACCAGCATGGATCCGTCACTGTGATCCCCCATGATAAGTGGTGTCTTTGTGTCTTTGGGAAACTTCAAAGCCTATAACCCATTGTTTAAACGTCGTGTAGTAACATGCATTGTTGAGGAATGGGGCTAGGAGTAGTTTATGGACCTTCCAGTTCAACGGCGTCCCAGTTTAACTTCCCCCAGCACAATCAGTTTGGTAATCAAAAAAAGCTGGAGCCAGTATCTGTCATTTTGGACTCTCAGATGATGTACAGGAGAACTTTCCACTGATGATGGAACAGAATGTGCGTATAAATATTCATAGACATTTACATTTATTTGGGAACCTCTGCAAGAGAAATGACAAATAAGTGTTGAGTGAGGAACAAAGGGGGCCAACATTTGGTCTCAAGTGTGTCTACCTCTGCAGGTTTTTGATCCAGTGCGTGTAATCCATCTCTCCTTTCTCTGTAAACCAGCCTGCGTTTCCGTGGCACAGTCCCATGATGTCTATAGAATAACATCATGCATGGCGCCACATCAGGGCTCAGGGGATCTGCGATCGGCCCTCCCCAAGCAATGTATTTATTTATTTAAGTTGAGCGAGCATGTGGCACAAGAGACAGGAAAGACAGCAGTCGCGTTCTTATTACGTCATCCTTGTGCTTTACTCTCCCAGCGTGTCCAATCAATCCATGCTTAATCCAACTGTTAGATTTGTGTAGAAGTTTAATTGAATTGGCTTAATCTCTATCCTCATCCTCCTTGACCTGAGTGCAGCTTTCGACACCATTTCACACTCCATCCTCATGAATAGACTCTCCACCTTAGGCATCACCCACACCCCCCTAAGTTGGTTCCACTCATATCTCACTGGCCGCTCTCAGTTCATCCAACTCAATTCCTTCACTTCACAATCCCTTCCCGTCACTTCTGGTGTCCCCCAGGGTTCTGTCCTGGGCCCCCTCCTTTTCATCATTTACCTTCTTCCGCTCGGCAATATTTTTCGAAAATTTGGTATTCATTTTCATTGCTTCGCGGATGACACCCAGCTCTACCTCTCCAGCAAACCCGACGCCTCCCTCCCACCCTCTTCACTTTCTGACTGTCTCTCAGAAATCAAATCTTGGTTCACCCATAACTTCCTCAAGTTAAACAGCAATAAAACAGAACTCCTCCTCGTCGGTACTAAATCCACACTATCCAAAGCAGACAATTTTTTTCTCACAATTGATAATGCCACTGTATCTCCTTCCCCTCAGGTCAAGAGCTTGGGTGTCATCCTCGACAGCTCACTGTCTTTCCATTCCCACATCAATAACATTACCCGGTCTGCATATTTCCACCTCCGTAACATCAACCGTCTCCGTCCCTCTCTCACCCCTCACACGACTGCTATTCTTGTTCACATCCTCGTCACCTCCCGCATCGATTACTGCAATTCATTTCTCTTCGGCGTCCATCTCAAATTTCTCCATAAACTTCAAC